GCTGCCCAGCTGAACCAAAGAGGGAGCCTCTCAGGCGGTTGGAATCCTCCAATGGTTCCTCAGAAGACGCAACAGCCTCCATGCGTTTAACAGCCTTGGAAACCTGCTGAACGGTCAAGTGTGAGTTGTTTCTGATTCAAAGGCCTGAACCGTTAAACTTCTATAGACATGTAGTTTGTTATATTTACATGAAGTCATTGATTCAGAATCTTCATTTCTGTTGTTTCACTCTTGGGTGCGTTTACCGTCTAAGGCTGATCTTATTAAGGGCTTAGGTGTTTCTTTTTAAAAGAAAAATCATGTATTACTCCTACTTTGAGAAATATTTAAAGAGATCATTATTGGCTTGAAGAAAAATGCTAGTTCTTGTTGAGCACTGATAACATAAATTGAATATTGCAAGAATCAAGTAAAATTTACATTCTACTGACAATCTGTGCATTTAAAGCAAATAATCATGAAAAGAAGTGATAAATAACAGCTAATAATATTATTATTTAAATCTTAAAAATAATTTTGAGGTTGGTACAGGTGGCCTAGTGGCAAGAAGCTGTGCTGCAATCCCAAAGGCATGCGGTTCAAGGCCAGCATAGAAGAAGGATGGGCAACCTCCTCCCATGTGATTAACTGCCTCTGAAAACCCGCAGGAGGGTCAACTATGGGTCAGTTCTGACTCTATGGCACACCACCACCACAGCAATATAGATTTTGTATGAACATGAGTAAGTGTTGTGGGGAATTCCCATTCTATTCAATGTTAACACTTGTTTGTGATCCACACAAATAATTTTAACAGTCAATAAAACACAGACATTCTTCTGAGATATCCATAGCTTCTTCTTAACCTAGCTTGAACATATGGCAGCTTGAACCTATTAATGTACTATTCCAGCTGTTTTTGGATGATCATCAGCAGTATTTTGTTTGCATGAGGTATTAAAAATCACCTTTCTCAGAAATGGAGCAAATATAGCTCTCTTCCATTCAGTCAGCCAGGTGGCTATTCTCCAAATTTCCTGTCATAGACTGGTGAGCACATCCAGAGTTGTATCTGTTAGTTGAAACATGACAACGGGTATTCCATTAATTACTGGGAACTTATTTTTTGTGTCTTTAACACAGTTTGAACTTTTTCCTTGGACCATTGGCTCTTGTTCATATGGTAATTCTTTAAATTCTTCTGACCAGTTCTTTTTGGTACACTGACTCTGTCACAGTATTCCTTACAGTTTCTTTTGATGCTTTCTGAATCACGTGAGATTTTGCCCATTTTACTCTCAGTATTGAAACATGAGGCTTACATTTGTTTTTAAGTTCCTTCAGCTTGAGAAATGCTGAGCAAGTTTTTCCTTTTTATTCCCTGACTCCAGTTCTTTGCATACTTCCTTACAAGACTTTGCTTTGTCTTCTGGGCTACCCTTTGATATCTCTTTTTAGGTCTTTTACTTTAGCATCTCTTCTTATTTAGGCTTAGAAATGCTCCAATGCAATTTTTGTAGTTTCTTCTGACATTCATTTTTGTTTTTTCTTTCTCCTCTGTCTTTATAATGATTTTTTGATCTCTTCATGGATAATAACTTTCTTGTTAACCTACAACTCATCTGGTCATTGGTCATTGGTATTCAATCCCTCAAACCTGTTCTTAAGATGATTTTATTAGTTCAAGTGGGATAGACTCAAGGTCATATTTTGGTTTTTGTGGATTTGTTATAATCTTTTTCAGTCTCAGTTTGATCCTGCACATGTGTAATTGATGGTCTGTTCCACAATGAGCATCTGGCCTGATTTTGACTGATAAGGTTGAGCTTCTCCAAAGATTCTTTATAAAGACGTAGTCAATCGGATTCCTGTGAAGTCCATCATTTGAAGTCTATGTGTAAAGTTGTCTTTTGTATTTCTTTTTAAAAAGTATTTTCTATGAATAAATTATTAAATATACATTTATTTACCCTACAGTGTCATGTCTGTCACCAAGTTCATACTTCCCAATTACCTTTCCTTCTTAATTGTTTCCAACTTTTGAATTCTAGTCACTAATAATTATTAATACATTTTATTGCATATTTGAGCAATTTCAGTCTGCACAAATTGGTAGAAATAAAATTCTTCCTCTTTGGCTTGCAATCAGAGTGTTCTTTGGAGGCAAGGGTAGCAAAGCTTCATTTCTTATACATTAGCCATGTTATTAGGAGAGGCTATTCTTTAGAAAAAGACATCATGCTTGGAAAGGTGGAGGATCAGTAAAAGAGAGGAAAGATTTCAATGAGAAGGATTGATACAGTGACTGTAGCAATGGACTCAAGTGTGTCAAAGATAATAAAGATGGTGTAGGATAGGACAGGGTTCAGGTCTGTTGTTCATAGTTGTAATGAGTTGATATCAACAACAATAGAACAATATAAAAACACATAAGGTTATCATCATTGACTAGCATTGTTTTTCAAAAGTAGAGTGCCAGGTATTTTTTCCCAATTTAGTCTTAAAGAGGGAGCTTTGCTTGCCTAGTGGTAAGAAACTGTGCTGCAGTCCCAAAAGCAAGTGGTCCGAATCCACCAGCTGCTCTACAAGAGAAGGATAGGCAGTCCGCTCCTGTGCAACTGACTGCCTCTGAAAAGTCAATGAACAGTCAACTATGGGTTGGTTCTGACTCAGCAGTACACAACAACAACAACAGTAGTCTGGAAGCTCCACTGAAGCCTGTTCACTGTTCATCATCATAAAGAACTTTCAGCATTTTTCCTGGTGCATCGTGCTGACAGACCAAAATGGACGTCAGAAGAGATTCTGAAACTTACACTAGAATGGAGAAAAGCCAAAACAAAGGGAAGAAATGCTGAAGTAAGACAGATGAATGGAAGATTTCAAAAGGCATATCCAAAAAAACAAAGCAAAGTGTTATAACAAAATGGGTAAAAAGCTGGAGTTAAACAACCAAAAGGGGAAAACATAGTCCGTGTTTCTTAAGTTGAAAGAACTAAATAACAAATTCAAGCCCTGAGCTCCTACATCTTAGTTGAATCAGAGTTTGATTTAACCTTGACTCATTGGAAGTCTTCACTAAGGATTCTAACCACATTCCTTGTCATGTGCTATCCTCAACAAAGACAACCAGCACCTGTTTGTCATGGGGGTCAGCAGGAAGTGTGAGCTGGGTGGTGGGAAGCGGAAGGAATATAGATGGTCTCTGGTCACACAGCTTTGACTACTTACTCAAGAGGGATCTCTGCTTGTCTGGTGGTAAGGAATCACACAACCAACCCAAAGGTATATGGTTTGAATCCACCAGGTGCTCTATGGGAGAAAGATGAACAATTTCTTCCCCTGCAATTTATTGTCTCTGAATACCTGTTGGAGGGTTAGTTATACGTCAGTTCTGACTCAATGGTATAAAACAAGAACAATTGGGGGGAAATCTTGAATGATGCAAAAAACATCAAAGAAAATAGCATATGATCAAGAATCAATGTAACTTAAGGAAGGAGTCCAAGCTGCAATAAAGGCTTTGACTAAAAATAAGGCCTCAGGAATTGATAGAATACCAATTGATATATTTTAAGAGACTGATGCAGCCCTGAACATACTCACTTGTTTATGCCAAGGAATTTGGAAAACAGCTACCTAGCCAAATGACTGGAGGAGATCCTTATTTGTTCCAATTCAAAAAAAGATGATCCAATAGAGTGTGGAAATTATCAAACAATATTGCTAATATCACATGCAAGTAAAATCTTATTAAAGATTATTTAAAAATGACTGGAGCAGTACATTGACATAAAACTTCTAGAAAGTCAAACTGAATTCAGAAGCGGCCATGGCATGAGGGATATAATTGACGGTGTCAGATAGATCTTAGATGAAGGTAGAAAATATTAAAAAAAAAATTCTTATGTTTTATT